CCTGTGCTGCAGAGCCCCTGCCAAGAGTCTTTGCCAGCATCTGAACCGGTGGAATAGCCACCTGGCCCTGCCTGCTGGACCCCCTTCACCCCATATCCTCTCAATGCTTTCATAAGCCTGCTTGTATGAATACATTGAGATTGCAAAACCCTTGTTTTGTGCTACAAAGCCAGGTACCAAAAGCTACAATAGTTATAAAAATTGCCCAGTGCAATTTTCTGCTTATTCAAAACTCCCCTTGGCCCTGAGGGGATCAGTGCAGTAACAGCCTTGCCTGTTCCCTCCCAGCAGACTCAGCAAGCCTTTATGGTACTTCTGTTGCATCAGTATTGAAAATAGTCCATGTTTTATTGTAAATTACTGTTATTTGCGACTTCCAGTTTTGCAGTTCCCACTGCACAGAGATCAAGGACCCAATTTTTCCTTTGTATCCATCAGTGTAAATCAAGATTAACTCCAGTAAAGTCAGTCTAAACCACAAGTGTAAAACTAGGAGGAATGAAAGGAAAATCAGTCCACAAACTACTTGGGTTCTTCTATTTTTAAATAGCAAAATTAATGCTGCTGTTCCGCAGACACAGGGTGACCTGCAAAGTACTATCTCATGCATTACTAATGTATCTCCATTTAAATGCAGATTTTTGCTCCTAACACAGAACTTCAGGGAAATCCTCTCCAGATAAACTGTAATAGGATACCAAATAGTGATTCAATATTTCACTTTAACTTGTGTTTCAGCTTATTGATCTTTATTTTCTATCATTTTGATGAAGCATTTGCCTACAAGGAAGAGGATTACATTCACTATAATATGGCTTTTAATTAATAATTAATTATTTTAATATTCCAAACATCCATGCCAGACATGGCAATCTGCTTGTATTCCTTTCCTTATTTCTATTTTCAGTAGTGGAAACCAGCAAGGTGTGACTTTACATATTCTAGGAAGTAATTGAAACACCCAGTTGAGAAAAGGAAGCACAGTATAAGGATGACAGTATTATGCTTACCATGAGAGTGTTTTGTTCTAATGATAAGAACCTGACATGATTTGCTTTTGCTATGTATGACAAGTTTAGGATGAAGTTTTTCTCTGAATATGCCTCCCTCAAGCCCTGTATGTGTGTGTGTGTGTGTATGTGTATATATATATATATCCTACATAGTACAATGAAGTTATAGAAATAATGTCTATAAATCTACTAGATCATGAATAGAATTATTAAAATGGATTACCTGATACTGAGAGTTTAGTGTCTCTGCAGCACCCAGCATGATGACTCCCAATCTATTTATAATTAGTTCACACTATTTCTCAGTTTCCAGGCTGAGAGCTGGCAGCAGCACAAGGATTGCAAGCAAGGCTTAGGTCTCATTTATGATACCATCAACTCAAAAAATAACTCCCAACTGTGGTAGAGGTATAAATATGATGAGATTTTGAAATAAATTTCTAGGTTTGGGTTTTCATTTGATTATTTATCTTGACTTCTTATAGGGTGCATTTTGTTAACTTTTCCAAATGTTGTTCTTGCAACCTTAAGTCATCAATTTTTAAATTGAGATTAACATTGTCCACATGGCATTCTTAGATTTGCATATTTTAAAAGAATATCAAAATATGAGCAATTACCTACATGCCCTCAGATTTCTTCTTTAAATTATTTCCAACATTCTCAAACCCTGTCAGATTCAAACACCTGATAAACAAAGCAAAAACTGCTAGAAAAAGATTCCTCCACTACCTCATCAAAATAAGTCCTCTCTATGCCCATGTTTCAGTCTGAATTAATGGTATGTTGCAATCCACCAGAAAGTCATTACTGATAAGAACATGAGGCACACCATAAAAAGCTGTCTCAGGTTGTGTTGGGTTGTTGGGGTTTTTTGCTGTTGTTGTTTGGTTAGTTTTGGTTTGGTTTGTTGTTTGTTTTTTTTTTCCCAAAAAAAAACTAAGGCAGGAACAGCATTTGTTTTGGTATTAAAGTCCATGCTGACTTTATAGGTGGAGAATAATATCAAACACTGTATAGCTACAATGGAGGAGCTGGGTATTTTTGTCATCAACAGTCTAGTATCAGTAAACACAGTTTGAATGGAACCAAAGCACTAAGCAAAACTTCTAACAGTGCTGTAAGCAGGTGGCGGGCTGGGGGTGTTTTTAATGAATCACTTATGGGTTTATCCAAATCAGCTCTTAAAACTTCTCATGAAAAACAAGAGACTAGTATTTGTCTAAAAGAAAATTTTTAGTGATCCAAAATAAGATTTCTTTTAATTAGAAAATTATAAAATTCACAGGGTTTTGAGATTTAGATAATTTTTTAATCAAAATGTGAAATCCTTTATTCAAATTGAGGTTTGCTATCCAGTAAAACTATAAATGATAAATATAAGAAAATAAAAAGGTTTTCTTTGGAATGGATTTCATGGAAAATAATCTCAATAGCAAAAATGGGTGTTGTAATAGGGTTTTTTTCCCAAGGCATAAGGTCTTGCTAGGACTTAACAAATAAGACTGAAATTCATTTGAAAAAAAAGGAATGAACTGATAAAATTTCCCACTTCTTTGACCTTGTAAACTTCACATCAAAATGCACGACACAGCAGGACGTCTGCCTAGCAGCAGTATGTATGTACATCCTCTTTATTTCCTTTACTGGCTCAAACCTAGTTCTTCACATTAATTACTGTTCATTTACTGAATGGAAAGCATGCATTTTTAATTATGTTAGTGGAAATGTTGGCTGGTTGTGAAACAAAGTGCTTGGAATTGGTCCATTTGAACCACGTGAATCAGCAGTACTGTTTTATAGTTTTTGCATTTTTTCACTTCAGCGTTTCAGACTGTGATCCTTGTGAGAAGAAAACCTGATAAAGATAAAAGGCTCCATCTAGCGGGCAAGAATTTTCTATTTAAAGGAAAAAAATGCTCTCATTTTCACTTAATTTTATGCATGAAGAAATACAGCTTTAGATTTTGTTTCATTAAGCTGCCATGTTGTTGTTAATTCTTGCCTTCTACAGAGCCATTATTTCATATGCAAAGCTGTGAAACATTAAGTATTATTCTGACTCTTGAGCAAGAAGCAATAAATGATACTAAATGAGTAGGTTTATACAGCAGTTGATCCAAGAAGCTTTTCCTCCCCACCCCCTTCCCCCTTCAAGCTTCAATATATAGTAACCAAAAATGGGTAATGTGTGTCAATAATTATTTTAAACTATTTATGGTTCTTTCCTACTTAAAACTGACTGGCAGCATTCATAACTTGACCACAGCACTTAACACTATTTTTGGGAGTATATTTTACACAGGGAACTCTACCCATGTGTTACCTCATCATTAAATGACTTGTTTACCTGCAAACGGTGAAATCTGGGTTCTCTGGCAATGCAGTTCCAGTGCATCAGCTTCCAGCAAGACCCCAGTGGCCTCTGCTGTGTCTTCCACAAGCAAACACCAGAGCTTATTCATCCTGGCATTTGTCTAGTAGCCTCCCTAGTGCTGCTGTGTGTCCAAATGCACCCTGATAGAATTTAGCACTTTGTTTTAGGTACGCAATTGATCTAATACAGCGGTATTTTCTTTTGTTCTCTTTGCTGAATTTCTGCACTGCATTGCAGTTATGCTCCCAGCTCTGAGAAATTCAAACGGCAAGACTCTTCCATTTGCAGCAGTACTGAAACTTGAGTGTTACTCTCATTCCAACAAACAGAGCTAGCAGCTGAAACCTTCTCTTCATTTCATTTCAAGCTAATAACAAGCGTAGGAGGAGGAATAAGTAGCAGCAAGCACAGATTTGGCAGAAGATACTGAACCACCTCCTGGCTTTTGTCAGACTGTCCCTTATTTTAAAGCCATATAGCCTGGCAAGGCCTGTTCCTCCCATGCAGCTTCCAGCAACAGGCAGGCAGTGTAAACTGCATTGTAATAATGCCCTACACCCTCATGTACTACAGCCTGTGTTCATATCCAACATGGGAAAATGTGTCTCCTGCACAAATCACAGAATAGAGCTTACTGAGTTGCTCTGCACACCTTTCGATCACTGGGAGATCTCAATTTGCAGTGGGTCACTCCATAGCAAACCCAGAGGATTTTTCCTTCAGTATTAATGCACAATTTGGCAATTCTGTTAGGCCAAATAGACTTGCTGATCTTCCTGAATAATTCTCCCCAGCTGCAGCTCTCCATGGAAATCTGTGCTGCCAGTGAGTAAGAGCTGTCTGTCATTTGGCTTGGTTTACAGGCTAAAGCAAAGGATAGTCTTAAAAGTTCTTACTGTGAATCTTTGTACAAGCAAGGACTAAGACAGAACTGACGAGCACCTTTGCGGAAGTTGGTATGCTTGCAAAACGCAAGCAATGCTATCTCAAAAAGGGAAGAAATGAAAGACAAAAACTGCATGTTTTGGTACCGTTAAGAGTAATGCCACGTCGTTTCTAATGTACACAGACACCTACTTCGCTAGGCATGCAATAGAAGAAAACATGCAAGTCACTTGATTCAAAGTTCTTAAATAACACCCCTTTTAACTGCTGGCCTTTGCTCTAGAAGTGCTCATGTTTTAAAAGATTATTGGTTTGCTGCTGAGCTAAAGCAAATCCCAGATTTGGAACTACACTAAGATCCTCTGCCTTGTCTTACTTTAAATACCTTTTCTAGCACTGGTACTTGAGCTGATGCTAATGAAGTACAAATTTCCAGATGTGAAACTCTGGGGAATATTTGACATACTGCTTTTGTAATAATCTGCTATAAAATCAAACTGTTAATTTGGGGATTAAGTATTAATTTATTCCCACTACAGGTCATCAAAAATCCTCACAGAAGCCTTCTAATTATCATTTAACATAGATATTTCAGATTATGTTTATCTGGTTAAGATTTATTCAGCTATTTTTTTGTTCATTGTGGGAGTAGCCGTCTTTTGAAACAAGTGCACTGATGTGCATTTATTGTTGTAGAGTAACACCAAGTCTTTTCTTTTCCACAGCTAACCAGGTGCTGAAGTTTGGAACACTCGTCAGTACTTCCAACACCTATGATGGCTCTGGGATTGTGACTATCGAGACAGACAAACCTTTGCTGTGGACAATGGCTATCAAAAGATAAGATCAGCTACAGCTGCCTTTTCTGATCCAACACAAGTCCAATTACTGCAAAATTTCACTGAATTAAGATGGTAAAGCTGTTCCAAAAAATATGAGCAGACATTTATTTTATGTATCAAATGGAAAACAAGTCTGAAATTAAAGTTACTTGAGATCCAATCGAAATTACTTGCAGTAATAGAGTACTTCATTCTGGTACCTCACACCACCTAATCAGAAGACACACGAGCAGCCACCCAGTACAGTCACAAACAGAAATGAATGTAAAGGAACTGCTTATCTGGTTAGTTCAGGCTACTTTTCCAAAGTATTTTATTGCAATACTGAACTATTTTTCCCCTTTTGCCAAAAGAAAATACAGTACCCGGTTGCACATAGTGTAACTGTATTACAAGGTGACAACACTAAGATTAGTTGATCTCATTTTTCTGTCCTGGTTTGTAACATATGTAGCTGCTGGTGAAGATTTCTCAAGAAGAAGAATAGTTGAACTTTTCTACTTAGGAAACAAGTTTGTGTACTGAAGAAGCTTCAGTTTTGCTGTAATATCAATATCAGATTTCCAAGTGCTTTTGAAATCTTTCATAGAGGTACAATTGTAGCTTCTGCAAATACTAAATGCTTACAGTAAACTTTCTGGAGTGAAATAAATGTCTTAATCTCAATCTGAGGAGGAATAGCATTGCACCTACTAGAGTTTTTGCAGGTTTAGTTCTTAAAATCAAAATGTTCAATCATATAATAATGAAAACTTCCAGGTCAACATGCAGAGCCCTTTATAATTCCATGTGCAGAACAGTATCCAAAATGGCTGTACATCCTGTCCAACAGTGTGAGGAAGTTGCAGATTTGCAGAAGGATTGCTTAGTATCTCCGACAACTAAATTATCCTCAAATGGTACATCTCAGTAACCAACTAAGTGTGGCTTTTTTAATTACACCACCAGAACAAGGACTGGCCATGCAATTTTTCATTGGATGGAGTTTTTTTCCAGTCAGTATAACATAAGCTAGCAGGACTTCCAAAAGCAGAAAGGAATCAGTGATAATGATGGTGACTCTAGAAATTAGCTACAAGAATTTCAGTTGATAAGACTTTTAAATTACCACTTGAAAGGATACAGGAATGCTGTTTTCTTGCTGCCTACTTCTGCTGGAACAATGCTGTTCCTATGCTTAATTTACTGCTTAGTGAACAGCTCCTGAAGAGAGGTCATACAGTTGTCACCCTTGGAGGCTCCCAATACCTGATGGACAAAGCCTTAAGCAACCTCGTCAGAAATGCCACACGGACCCAGCCTGGAGCAGGACACTGGACTAGAGAGCTCCCAAGCTTCCTTCCTACCTGAAGGATTCTACTATGATTAAAAGATGTAACAAAACAAACAAAAGGCAGTACTACTAAAAAAAAAAAAAAAAAAAAGCCTGTGATATAGACAAGTATGATCGCATACACTTTAAAAGAAAAATAAGGTGACAACAAGGTTTGAAAACCCAAACTGAGCTTATTTAATATCAAACAAATTAAAGCTGGGAAGTCTTTGCAGCGGGTGTCATAACTGTCATCTTCTTCTTCATGATGAATATTCAGCCACCTCTGTTGAGAGAACAAAGTAATCAGTTTCAACTAATCAACTGATCCCACCTGAAGTCTAATTTATCCTCCCACCACTGCATTGCTAGGACAACCTTTACTACCATTGCAGCTTATCTCCTATTTTCAAACACTTCTCCTTACTTACAGGACCCCTCTTACAGGTATAAGCAAGCCACACATCATGGTGGCAGAATAGGTTCAATACTATAAGATCCAAATAAAGTAAATGTTCTATGGTCAAACACACACTGAGGAACTGGAAATGAAAATATCTGAAATTCAGTTTTGAACCAGAATGTTCAGAAAAACCCTGAAGATCTATGGATCTAATATTTTGCAGCATGCTAAATTAACAACCTACTTACTGATTAAGTTCTTTGAATCAAGTAACTCCTGTCATATTACACTAATATGTGAAATGCAGATACTAAAGCAACAAGGATCCTGTAGAGCTCACTAACATCCTCTGTTTAAAAACGGACAGGTAAAAATGTAGTGAAATTGAAGGTCATATTTACTTACACAATTATATTGTTGATTGGGATATGGATCAATTTGACAAAGAAACCAATAAATCCCATTATTGCAAAGCCTATTGCTGTTGCCATGGCAATCTTCTGGAACTCTGTGAAAACAAAAAAAATAGTTTGTCTAGGAAGCCTCACATATTGGTATACAGATGTGCACTGCAGTGACCAGAGGAGAGATATCCCTTTAGAGAAGAATGTTAACACAGGAAATAGTTCTGGAAATAGTCACTGCAGTGACCCTGAGAAATAAATCCCCTTTTTCAGAAATGGGATGATAATTTTAAGACAGATGATAATTTTAAGAGAGAAGGTGCTGCTTTCCACAGAGAATGGCCAATCACAATTTTTTTAAATAGCAAAATCAGAAGTATCCACAGTCCATGACAATTCTTGGAACGTTTATTCCATTATCTCTCCTTTACAACTCTGCAAGCCCTGAAAATAGTCCCCAACACAGTATCAAAAATATAAAAGCTCCATTTATGTCTGTCACAGAAGGACAGCACCTCAAGTTCCCACAAAAATTGAGTACTTGTGATATTCTCAATTATTTTAAGACAGCAACCATGAAGTGGACTAAGGAGGTCAACAAACCTGCCAGTCTGACAATGAATGAAGCTCCATACTAATCTTAAGAGATGCCAGTAAACTTAAGAGTCATGGCATTGTTTGTTCTTAGCACATGAATAAAGCATTGTAAGTATTACCATTAAGGATTGCCAGTTGCATTCTGGTTACAGTTATAGCTTCTCTCTAGTGCTTTTGAGAAAGTCCAAAACCTCCTCTTCTATACTGCCAGCAATAAAATTCTTCCCGTCCCAATCAGGCAGTGACTGACAACTGTGGAGCACTGAATGGGCACTATAAAAAGCAATTCTGGCTCCATTCAAGTCTCCTAAAAATAAAGTCTTTCCTCCAAGGTCATGAACCAAGCAGTTACAAGCAGAATTTCTCCCAATTTGACAGCAATCAGTCAAATCTGACTGCTGCGTTTGTGACTTCAAAGGGCACACAAGTTCTTTTCAGATCAGTTTACTTAATAAATGAAAAGTATCGCTTGCCTGTCTCAAAATGGCTAATTTCAACTACCTGGCCTTTTTCATAACATGAGTTTTACTTCCATTCACACATCTACGTACGTACCAGAAAAGAACACATCCAAGTTTATTACAGCCAGAACCATAAATCCATTAACATTCAGACAACTGCTCAAGTTTAAATCTCATACTGGCAGATGAGAAACATTCACAGCAAATGAGTCAACAGAAGTGACATATGCAAAGACACGCGGTAAGATATAAGATGAAATAAAGATTGTGTTCAGGTTTATTGTGTGCTTTACCTTTCCTGTCAGGCTTGGTGCATCTTTTAACAAGTCGTATGGAGTCTTTCACAAACTGACGGCTGGGTTCCACAAACTGCATTACCTGATCCATGATTACCTGCAAAGATGAATGCATTTAGCACTGATGGTTCCACATATACATACGGCAAACCAGAACTTTTTAACTGCAGAAGTAGCAGCTACCTACAAAATTTGTGAAGACTTAAGATAACTTAAAATTTCATATTCCAGCCTAACTGGACTTTCAAAGATACTTCCAGATACTTTGCAGAAAATGAGGGGACTGCATCAGTAAATAAAATCAGGGCCTACTTCTGACTGCAAAATAGAAAGGGAAAAATTGACAGAAAACAACAGCTCCATCAGAGTTTGCTCTCAGTTTATGTCCTATGCCACGTTTCAGAAAACACTACTGAACGATTCTCTGTCCCTGGAGGTATTTAAGAAGAGACTGGACGTGGCACTTAGTGCCATAGTCTAGTAACTGTGGTGGCAGTGGATCAGGTGGATGGACTTGATGATCCCAGAGGTCCTTTCCAACCCATCTGATTCTGTGATTCCATAAGGTGTCTGAACAGGCAGAAGTTCACGTGTTTCAAGAAGCGCCCCCAGCCCAAAGCAGCACCGGGGGGGGACGCTGTGGCCGCGTCTCGTTCTCACAGCAAGCAAGTGTCGGCACTGCCACCCCCCACCCACGCAGGACCCCAGCCTGGGGGGATCCGCTGCCATTAACCCGCACGGACCCCCCGATATCCCGATAAGATGCCGGACCCTTCCGCGTCTCCCAGCGTTCCCCCCCCAACCCCGGCAGCGGCCGAGGCCGGCCCTGCCCGCCGCAGCTCCCCCGCCACTCCCGGCCTCGGCCCCCGCGCCCTCTGGGTGCTCAGCAGGCCTGATGCCCAACCCCTCGTGCCCGGCTCCCCGGGCGGGAGGACCCTCACGATCCCCCCTGGATCCCCCCTGGATTCCCCCTGGATTCCCTCTGGATGCCCCTCGCCCTCACCGCCCTCACCGCCCTCACGGCCCTCACCGCCGCCGCAGGGACACGTCGCACAGAGAGCGGCGGGGGCGGGGCTATGACGTCACCGCGCCGCGCGCGCGGCCCCGCCCCTTCCCGATGGCGGTGGGGGCGGCTCTTAAGGGGGAACAGGAGGATTGTGAGGGGCGGCGGGGCGTGGTTGGTGGTGTGTTTGGGTGGGGTTTTTTCGTTTGTGTTTTTTGTTTTGGTTTGGTTTGGTTTTTCTTCCGGTTTCCGTGGCTCGTCTGAGTCACGTTTGCTTTCCGTGCGGCTGTAGCCTCGGGATCCGTGACCCTCGTACCGGAAATAAAGGGAAGAAAGCACCGATGTTGTTCTCCCCGGCAGCAAGCGACGGGAGGGAGGACGGAGTCTTAGGTTGCACCAGGGAACAGTTTAGGTTGGGCATTAGGGGAGATTTTTTTCACAGAAAGAGTGGTTAGGCACTGGAATGGGCTGCCCAGGGAGGTGTTTAAAGAAAGGCTGGACGTGGCACTCAGTGCCATGGTCTAGCTGACATGGATACATTCCGTCATAGGTTGGACTCGATGATCTTAGAGGCATCTTCCAACCTAATTAATTCTGTGGATGTGCCTGTAACAAATGCTGTGCCGTGAAGGCATGGCAAAAAAACAAAACTAGAAAAAGACCAAAAAAAAAAAAAAAAGAAAAGAAAGAAAAACTAACAAAAATAACCAAACAAACCGAACAAACAAACAAATAAAAACCCGTTAAAAACTTGTTCAGGCTATGATTACCCATAACTCAGAGGTCTCTTGGTTTGTAGGAGTGCTGAAGCCACTGCTAACTACAGGAGTTCATCACCTTGGAAAACAAAGTCGTTGGTTTTTTTGTTTGTTTGGGGTTTTTTGTGCAGAGAAGTGTGTAGCTCTCAAAGGTGGGAAAGCTCTGTACATTTCAGTGCCATAAGGTAGTGTAGAAACACTTCCTTGCATGAGGGTGAAAAGAGGCTGTCACTACCTGAAGTAAGCCGGTTTTTGAAAGGAAAACTTCATCTTGTAACAGGTAAAGGAAGAAGAAAAATAACATGGATTTATTTTGTTAAGCCTTATTTTGCTTTTGATGTTATTGATTTTGGTTTAGAACTCTGTTCCTGGTTGGCTGCCACCTTTGAGTTTGTATTGAGTATCCAAAGCTTATTAACTATTCAGTCAGACTGTGGGGCTTTGGCAGCCAGATGAGGGTCTCAGCTTTACTAGTCTGAACTCCCTATTGCATAGAAGCGTACACAAAATATTTTCGAGGCTTAATCTTTTGCTGACAACTTTCATTACAGATAAAGTACCACCATATCACAGCAGGGAGCTGTTGGTTGTTCCATGGATTTTTTGACAGCTACCTTCTTTTTCTCTGTCCACAGGGAGGTCCCTCGATGTTACTGATCTCCTTCAGAGATGAACTCTCTACTTGGCTTTAGAGGGTTATTGGCTTGAGGTCCTCTACAAGTTTTCTCCAAAAGTCTGCCTTTGGATCGAATTTTGCTTTGAATGAGATTTCATGCAGCACTATTCCTCAGATGGGACCATAATTTTAGTGGCCAAATTCTGTTGGATCTTTTCCATTGGCACAGCAGCACTGAATGATTAGTCAGTTAGGCCTCCCACAGCAAATATTTGTATAATTTGTCTCTTGCTCTTGAGACCAGTTTGCAGTCTGCAAGGACAGGCAGTCACCCCTCAGAGAGAGGAAGATCCCTAAGGAAAGCAGCTGAGGGCCTGGTAGCCATGGTGCACAGTGTGCAGTGGGGCAGAGTAGGTTGCTGATCCTCTGCATGAGAATCAGTAAGTGGAGGAAGATTTTGGTGGGTTTTGTCTTGTTTGGTTTTTCCTGTCAGTGTCACAGATAAATGCCAGAGGCTTTTATCTGTACCATCAGACTAAACTCACATTTTCAGCTGTGCTGCATGATGAGCCTTACTGTAAACCATCCCCAGAGTGGAATGGTTCCCACAGCACTGGATTCATGCTGATTGGAAAAAAAAAATAACCTGAAACAAGAAGACACGTGTGTGAAACTATTCATTACACAGACTTCTGGTTGGATTTGATTTTGATTTTTAAAAGCGTTTACTGAAATAAAGCCTCCCCCCCCCCCCCCCCCAAATTTCTATTTTAAGTTGTTTTTCCTGGGGAGAAATGTTCATGAGAATAACGGTGCATCTTGATTGGCTTAACAATGTGGCTTTATCATGAATTTGTACCATGGGTTTGCTGTAGTGGGGTAGAGAAGGTATCAATTGTCCTGCCTCAGCTGTCTTTAGCACAATGACCTCTTTGCCTGTGAGTTGTGAGTTTGGACTTCAACAGGTTAGGGAAGAGACAGAGTCCTGTTTTGTGCGCAGAGAATATTTGCTTTTCTTCCTCGAATTATTTTCCAACATTCATCATCTTTTTAGTATCTTTGAACTAATACATTGTTACTTAGACTTGGTCTTCAGGGCAACTATGTTTCTGTTCTGTATATATTTACGAAGAGTCATCTGCATTTATAGAAGATATAAAAAGGTTTACATCTCCCAGGCATGTGTATTTTCTTTTCGTTGAAAGCTAGAGTGTTACTGGGGTGTTTTATTTCTACTTCTTTATGGTTCTTGCAAGGTTGAGGAAGAAAGCGGTGTGCTTGCACATGTAAATTTTCATAGCAGTTTTGCAAGTCTGCATTTACAGCAGTATCTAAGCAGTACATAACCATTCCCTCAATGGAAAAAAAGAGACATTGTAATCCTGTATAATATTGGCCTAATGCTGATTTGCTTCTGAATATTGCATAAACTGGAGCCGCACTGGGGGGCTTTTCATCTTGTGTGTGCTCCAAGGATGAGAGAGTTTTTTTGATGATAGTTTTATTTTGCATATTTACACATTTTGCTTTGTAGTTTGTTGGTCCTTTGGAGGACATGAAAGATAAATGTCTGCTTTTAACTATGGGCACATTAGACTGTTGTATGATATCCATCCCCCTGTACCTGGACACTTTACAAAAAGAGTGAGATCAACCTTGTCTTCAGCCTGTCCTGTTCCCTGCTGCCTGCCTGCCACAGCGCAGATCCCACTGCCGCCTGTGGGACATGGTGGGGTGGCAGGAGCCAGAGAGCTGACAGCAGCTGCAGCAAACATAGTTTGTGGGTTAACTGGAGAAAAAGACAGAGTTTTCAGTAGGAGAGGAAGCTCAGCCTGTGCATATTAGGTACACATGCAGTCCCCAAGTGGTATGGGCAGGACAGAGAAGTAGCTCTGTTTGAATGGGTCTCCAAGCTTCCCTGTTTCCCTGTGGGTGGAAATGCCATTTTCTCTACCTTGACTATGTTCCAGCCCCAGGCAAAGAGGAAGAGCAAAGCGTCTGCTCCTGCTCAGGCTGCCATGAGGCTGGTACTGCCTGGCCTCAGCAGTACAGGGGCAGTGCTCTTCTCTCTGCAAACCAGAGCAGAGAGACCAGGCAGTCTGGATTTTTTCTTTTAAGGATTATTCCCTGTGTCTTAGAAGAAAGTACTTGTAGTGGTCCTGACAAGTTTCCTGTGCCTGCACAAAAAGTGATAGATTTTGGATATGAGGTCTTACTGAGCTGTCTCCTTTGCATCCCAACCCATCCCATGATGGACAGCAGGAACTGAGCTACTCCCCTCCAGGAAGAGCCAGAGATGTGAGTGGATGGGCAGGAGACACAGACAATTCCATGCCCAGGATCTTTAAATGCCTGCCTTGGGGTAGAGCCATGAGGCGTTTGAACTGCAGAAGGCCAGGCAAAAGACCTGCGTCTTCCCAGTGGAGTTTTTGGGAGGGATGGACTGTTTGAGCAAGAATAGCCTTTGGGGACAGAATCTGACTTGCCTTCACGAACTGGAGAGGGAAATGTTTATCCTGAGAGACAGCAAAAGCAAATAAAAAAGACTAAGAAAACTAGGAAGGTGGCCACTTGTAGACTTTCACATGCAAGGAAGATAGGTCTCTGCAGACAGTGGGCATCTGAGTGTGCTCTGGGTGACAAAACAGGTAGCTGAGAACAATGACACAGTAGCAGAGATTTCCAGCCCAAACAAGGGAGCAATGCAGAGAAGGAAGAGAGAGGAAAAAGCAAAGTGATGGTGTGGGAAAGGTGCTAGGGGACCTCCTTGCTGAACAGTGCTTCAAGTACATGTCTTAGCAGATTTTCAAAAGCAGCAGCATAGTAGCCCTATTGATTGAAGTCATGCTAACGCTCCATTGCCTGACAGTCAGTGTTGTTGGATAACTAAATAACTATAAAAATCTGTCTTTAGAAATTGTTAAGATATATGGGGCCTTTTATTTCTTAATTCTACATTATCATAAGAGTGTTTGATAAATTTATAACTTGAAAACCATTGGACTATCTATGTGCTTCTGGCATTTAAAAATTATTTTTAGCTCTTCATTCTCCTAAATGACCCAGACTCTGTTTGGACTTGATAAGCACATCTGCATGATTTACAATGAGAAGAAAGATTATTTCCCTCTTCAGTAGCTGTTCAGATGCAGGGGAAGAACATAAATGAGGAATTAATGCTAGGAAGGAAATAGTAGCTCAGATTCGGGGTTCAGAAGGAAATGATGAAGTGCTTGTGGTCCGTGTCTTTGGGTTAACCTCATTAATTATAGAAATACCACTACAGCAGGCTTTAATGCCATGGTTGTGAAAGTCGCTAGTCAGAAGCAGTCAACAAAACCCATCCTTTGATTTGTGCTACTTATTATTCAGTGGAGATGAAATATGAGGATGAGGGAGGAGTGCTGTTAAAATAGATTTTTACCAGTGTTAGATTTATTGTACATATTTTTAAAGATGACCTTTTAAAAAAAGGCTATGTTCAATTTTATTTGAAAGAGAGCAGGGAGATTTGTGTCTGTGTAATGATAGATGCAAAATGAGAGAAACAAGGGCGGTAGACTAAAATGGCATCTCTAAATGATACTTCAGACTAAAAAGTCTGAAGATAAGCTTTCTAGACAGCAGAAGCTATACAGAGAAGTTAACAGAGGAATAAGTCATCCTCCATCAGCTGTTCAGGTCAGAGAGATAAAGAAAAATCAAATACTAGTTTCTCTGATGCA